CTACTACTCCGGTTATTTTGTCTGAAAATGAACCTGTTTATACGACTACGGATTGCAAACCAACAAAGACAAAAGTCTTAAGGTCACTGCGTTCGACAGTCACTTAATACATAAAGGTCACCTATTGTGCAAAATCCACTTTTTCATGTCTTTTATACATAAACATGTGTCCCCTGAAAGTTTCAGGAAAAAAGATTCTCTCTCTTTTCCATTTATATAAAAACCTGCCTGAAAATGAGCTGATCAGATTTTGGCCACTTTATGATGTCATAACGATGTTTTGGCTTGTGTAACCATTAGCCAATCACCAACCAAGGTAACCCCCCCCCACCTTATCACCTGAATCTCCTCCTAGAGCACCATTGTGTTCTTTGTAACCAAATGTCTCTCAGAGGGGCGTGGGGAGGGGCTCCTTATTTTCATCTAAAGTAACAGAGAGAGAATCAGCACTTTTGAAACAGGGCTGAAACAGAGGGGATTATGGGATGCTACAATCCATGATCTGTTTGGTATTTGGAGCCAAACACTTCAGAGACATGTTTTGTATATATCTGAGACCTGAAATATATTGATGAAAAACATATATTAGGGGACCTTTAACTAATGTGGTGTCTCTTGATGCACGTTACAATGTCAAGCAATAATAAATCAACACAAATTCCTGGAACAGATACTTACGACCACTCAGCGTAGCCCTGCTGTCTGGCGAACACTTCCAAGTTGTCGAAGAGGCTGGAGAAGGCCGACTCCAGGCCGAACTCCAGGTAGTCCTCCCTGACCACCAGCACCAGCATGGCCACCAGCAGAGACAGGAAGCCGAAGGCCAGACACACCGAGCGCTCGCCGCCCTCCTCAGAGCTGAAGTAGTGACTCATCAGAGTTTTAAGAGTCTTTCTGAAGGTTTGAGTTAAGTTTAAAAACAACTAGAGGAAAAGCAACATTCATCCAGTTCAAGACTACAATGCCATCTTATCTTTACATTTTTAATCAAATGTATTTTTCTTAGCATAAATCATGATGAGAAATTGGAATTGTGTTTTGACACTTTACTAAGTCTGTTACATTTTCATATATAAAGCGAGAGGCTGCAGCTGTAGAATGAGATATTTCCGTTTTATGGAGATGCAGTGATTACGATTTTCTTTGTCAGGTCAAACATTTTTTTTTAAATAATAACTGAAAGCATATTTAAAAATGTTTATACTTTCTTTTGTTTTATGCCCAATAAAAATGCAGGTGAATGTTCATAATAAAAACATATGAAATAAAAAAACATACATATTTTCAAAACTTCAACACTATATCAGGGCTTGTTGTTTATTTTTAGGGGTTGTACTCCTATGCTCATTTGGAATGTGCTGGTATTACAAATTGCAGGTGTTATGTCCTCTTTACTCATGCTGAAACACTTCTACAATAAGTGTGTGTGTGGCTGTACTGTGTGTGAAACATGCATGTTCTGTGTGCGGCGTAAAAACCGCCAAGCGACACGTCCAAAATTTGAACAGCAAAGAAATAAATGTGAGACTGATCGGCAAGCTACAGCAAATCAGCTGACAACGGCAGGCTTCTATAGCTGTGCAAAAGGTGCGTTCTCTCCAATTTGTTGTAATAGCAAACCTTATTGACACATACATATTAATCTGTCATGATGAGTCACTTTACAGTGGAAGGATACAGACTGAAGAGAACAGTCAGGACACACCAGATGGCTCCGATGTTGACTTCTGTGCTGGCATCCACAGAACTGTAGTAACACTCAGTGAACATGAAGACGCCTGCTGTATAGACCGCAAAGTCTACCAGCCACTGGTACTCCAGGAAAAACCGCAGCACTGAAAGTAGAAACAAGGCAAAAAAAGATGTAGACCGAGTCATTATTTTGTGCTAAACCAGTCAGTTTGAACTATGATCCATACATTTTATGATGCAGAGAGAAAAACATTGAAATGTAAATGCATAGGGAGTTAAAGCTGAGCTGTGGCAGCGTTTGTACTTGCTCAATGTCACGGTGATAAAGACAAAGGAGTGTTTAGTTTACCAAGAGCGTCAAGAGCGTTGATTGGAGCTTTCTCCAGGTGAAGGTCGATGTCTTTGGGCACAGTGAGAGGCTTGCTCTCCCCATTTTGTCTCCTAGTCATCAAACAAAGACACATGACTATGTTAAAAAAATACAAACAAAAAATACCTGTCTTTTTTTAGTCTTAAAGTAAAACATGTGTTTGTTTTTTAAAGTAAAGCACACCATTTACAACAAAAGGTAAAACTCTGTAGCTTTTGTCAGAGAAGGCAGATATCTACTTATTAGTTGTTTGTTTCTAGGCAGCTTTACTTGTTTGTTAGTCCTTCCTACATTACCAGACCCTCCCCCAACTCCCACCTGTCTTTCCTGGTCGGTTTGGGCATCTGCTTTCCGGCCAGGGCACACAGCTCTCCTTCCGACGGGTGTTTGAACCGGTACAGACTGAAAGGAACAACAGGGATGTGTTTGTATAGGGCCCATCCAATGATATGTACTGTATAGTGTATAACCTGATCGTAAGGGTAATTATACCTGCCATTGCAGAGTAGCCAGCGTGCAAAGGAGTAATGTGGAGCCATCCTTTGCATAATGCAGGCAGCCAGCAAGCTGACCACCAGCTGAATTCCCATCAGCGCCTGTCAGAGGAAACACACATGTTTAAGAAGGAGAACCAACTTTCAAACTCCCATCTTTGGACATAGAAACAGTTCGAGTTAAAGCCTGTAGAAGAAGCTTAGTCACATACTATGCTACAAAGATAACAATAACCATATGTAACCACGTTTAACAACCGTAAAGAATGTGCTGAAAGCTCCTGCAAAATGAATGAAAGTTAGCAAATGGCTATCGAGCTAAATTTAGCTAAACTTCACCACCTGTCATTGCTGCTGCAAACGTTAGCTAGCTAGCATTAGCATACTAGCTCTCATTGTAAGAAATAGAAACATAAACAGTTCGCTGGCTAATTTTACAGCAGGTTATTAACACTAACTTGATCCTTGTGGATTTACTGGAATGGGGGTAACTTACCATCTCTTCTGTCGAAAGAAATAGGTGTTGTAAATCAGAATAGCTGCCGAAGCTTCTTCACATGCAGGAAAGTCTTGACAGCTGATCCAACTGACATGTGAAAAGCTGAATGTCCCGGATGTAGTAGTGGAGTCGCGCGGTGCCTTCAGGTACTTCCCCATAGCTTCGTAAATCGGAAGACTTATAACAGCACAACAGTAGCTTCAACTGACGCATAATAATCTATGCTGCTTCCTCTCAGAAATGGAAATTAAACTACTTTTAAATTACTTTTTTGCAACTGTGAGACTGTGTGCCAACCATTTAGTTGACCTTTGTGGTTATTAGGGACTTTTTAAAATTGAGTTATGCCTTATTCACATAGAGAATCAATGGAAAGATACAATATGTACCTAGAAGGACCTCCAATTGATTTCATGCTACGTTTCAAAGCTATTGCCAAAATCAGTTGACTTGAAAATAATGTGCAATACTGCTTGTTTCACCCATAACAACAGGTTGCAGATAATTCTGCACATTTACTTTTCTCCCCATTTCAATGGACGTTTCTGAACACAGATACACTCGGGATACGTCGTATGCCTATATATATTTTTAGGAAGAACCCATTATACATCTACATATTTATCATATTATTGTAACGAGTGATAATCAAATGTAAAGAATAGCGTCCATGGTACATTTTACCTGTGCCAATTGTTCAGCCAGCCAACCAGAAGCAGAGGAGGGCGGGTCATGCCCTCACCCTCCAAAAAAAGAAAAATCACCTTTAAGGTGGTTTAACCCGGAAGTAAATACTTTTGCCCTGTTTTCCATTGACGTGATTTCAAGGTGATGCAGGTCAAACAGGTGAGTGTTTATCGTGTTACAAATGCCCTACAAACATTTCTGCTTCATGTCTGGACATTGCTATGATAATTTGGGCACATTTTCAAACGTGATTATAACTCCCTACAAATGGGACATTAACTCAAATCTGATACTTTTTTTTAACTGGAATCACAAATAGGGAGAGGCCTCAGGGAAGTTAATACTGGCCTTGATACCGATACAATACAATACAATGGATGACATGTACACAAGTTACGACTTGTTAGTCTTTGGTTTTCCACACTTCTGTGTATTTGTCATGTTGTTAGATGTCTAGCATGCATTCAGGGCTGGATTTACCCAGTAGTTGGCTTTGGGGAAAAACTGAGTTGTAGGCCTCTAACCAATAAATAATTCAAATGGCCTAGCTGTTATGCTAATAGAGTTTACAGTATGAATTCAAACAAGTCATCTTATTGAATATTAAATAATGAATGCTACCTTTTCTCCCAGGTCTGAATGAATGTTAAAATGTCCAATAAAGAGTGATAGTCCTTTTCTGTATGTACATTTAATTGGCTTGTTTCATCTAGAACAACATTACTTATGTATTTAGGATCACTGTATACTAAAATCACCAAGGCCTCTAAATTAAAGTGTGTTTGATCCTCGCTGAAAAATTCAACCCTCTCAATACTTAAAGTTCGTACAATTCAAATTCAGTTTGCACTGCATTGGAGTTTGTACACCAGATTACATACAAAGTGACAAAAACAAGAACACATCTGGTAGTGTCCTTTGCTTAAATGTAATTGCATGATCTGAATGTGGTAGTATAAAATGTATGGGGAGTTGAGTTTTCAGCAAGGATCAAATACATTTTCAGAGCAAATGAATTCAATGTCATACTATAAACATTTAGGTTTTGAAATTGAATTCCAAACTAATAAATATAATTTCAAATGCTGCCCTTTCAGATTTAGTATTAATGCAATTATTCACATTGAGCAAGACAAATTCAAATATCCTTCGTATACAAATTCAGTCTCTAGTGAGTTGTTCCTGCCTATAGATCACCTCTGTGAGATACTCCTAATGATAATCTCGATGTTTGATGCTTGCACCATCATGCATCTTAACATTTAATTGGATGAAAACAAACAGTATGCAAATAGTGAAGCTTAAAGTCTCAGATATGCTTCTCTTACTCTCTGCTTTGGCATTAAACACACAGTCACCAGGGAGGGGGCGAGAGCAGGAGGGAGTTGATGTAATCGAAATAATTAAAGTATACATTTTCCATTTTGATGAATACAATTAAGGAAACAACCCTATAATACTAACATTATTACTATCAAGCCTGCAGGCATGTTTATATCTTTGCAATGTGTTTTGTTTTATTATGTCATATGACCTCTAAACCACAGATTATTACAACCATGAGGTGTTTTGGGAATATTATGGTAAAAGGATAACAGCTCTTGGTGCACTGATGCATCCTCTGTGGTATGCTTGGTGACTCTGGATGAGAATGATTGTCCACACACACACACACACACACACACGCTGGTCTGTACATGCATTATAATGTCAGCTCATCCTCTGTAAAGCGGAGGCCCCTGTGCCTCCAACAGTGCGGAGGGTTTCCAGTCGCACGCCCTCCAAAAGATCTTTTACCAAACCCATTCACCACATTCAAATCTGTGTTTAGCATGTGCGTTCATGTTATTTGGGTGGTCTGCAGAAGTTGATTGAAATCCCACTTTCTGCTAATTGGTGCCACCCCTTCTGCTGAAGATGTGTCTGATCCTTTGCCGCGTGCATTTGCGCAAAAGAGCATGACGTTTCAATGAGAGCTACGAATTTGATCAAATGGAGCTTTGTGCGATGAAGCAACAGTATCTCAGGTGGGCAGGCATGCACCAACGGGCAGGCATCTGTAAACATAAATCACATGGAATTAGTTGTTCAGCTCAATATCAAACTCTGTGTTGTGTTTTGATCCTTATGAGTCCTGCTTATCCAAATCCAGCCTATACCCTGAGGCAATTAGTCTGTGCCATTTTGAACAGGAGGAAATGGAGCGATCACATTTTTGCATATTAAATCAAAAAGTGTCTTCTTTCTCCATCTCTTGCTGTTGCTGAAGATGAAATGTATGATGTTACCAACCAGAGCATTTGAGATTATTATGACGTCTTTCCATATGGATAGTGTAACCTAAAGATGCATGTTGTTCCATTCACTGCCCTAACATCATTTAACATGTACCCTTTTTCTAATCAACATTTGACAACACGATAAATATTCTGTACATTCTTCCAACATCTCTGGCATTAAACTGTCAGTCACACTGTGAGAGGAAATGTCTCTCTCTGGGTGGAAAAAGACTTCCATAATCATCATCTTTGACACAATGCTAATCCTTCTTCCATGTTAGCCATCTGTGGCTGAAGTGGCGGGGCAGAAATTACTGAGGAAAATGGACACAAATAAAATGCTAATTCACCACGGGCTACAAGTGGCTCCCCCCCCTCTCTGCCCAGCTCGGGGGGCCTCTCGGTTCCCACACCACTTCCCTGTGTCTCTCCCAGGGTGCTGCTGGGATACCGGCGGCTGTTTCGGAGCCCGCAGTAGGGATGCAGCCCTCCCATTGGCTTGTCTTTGTTTGCCCCCATGCACGGTATTCATCTGCTGATTTGAATATATGCAAATGTTGCAATGGTGCCCCGTCAAAGGAAACTCCCACAGCCACCACCATGTTTTTTTTCTTACTTACCGTCTCCCTTCATTTTCCCCGCTCTTTTCCTTTTTGTTTCTTTTCCTAAATGCTGCATTGAGCGGGGAATGCTGTGGGAACCAACGATGGAGGGCTAGATCTGCTTTGTCACAGGGATTTATTTAGTAGTGAGTCTCATGACTGTTAATTACAAAGACACACATTTACTGTATATCTCAAGGAAGAGAGAAAACAAGTGTATTGGGAATACACCATTCTTCAACTCCTTAATGTCTTTGCTGTGAACAGTCAAAGCAAAGAAGTTGCCAGACTAATGCATGCCTTTCAATCAAACATGCAGCATGTGTCACGAGGCAAACAAATACATCACATGACTTATTGATTACAGTAAAAATAAGAACCTTTTATATAGCGTATTGGTTTTAATTTAGAGTCTGACTTTGTACTCTAAGACAAGGGCAAGAACCACAGTGTAGACATTGTTCTATTACGTTAAGACAAAATAAGATGTAGCTTAGTTTCATATACATCTTTATTTTAAAAGCAGATATTTAGACTACTGGCCCTAACGATTACTTATTTCATTATGTACAATAGGACTCTTCCTCCAAAGCAACCAAATGGATTGAGCGAGAATTTATTTTGTTATGTGACATTTCACATTGTTTCCAATGAGAAAGGCCTATTTATCCCACAGCAAGAATATTTAAACTTGGAGTTATTCACCTGTAGTTTGAGAGTTAAAAAGCCATCTTTTGTTGTGTCACAGGTGCAGATACAGACCTTCCTCCTCCTGTAATGGCCCAAGATTAAACCATGGCTGGATTTAAAAAGATGACATGAAGATATGCATACAAGCTTCATATCTGCATTTTGACTCACTGCATCTGGCTCGTCTGTTTTCCAGGTCCAGAGCCAGACGGAAGAGAATTAGCTCGGCCTGACTCTGCTGAGTGTGTTAAGCCGGTACTTTGGCTCGTCCTCATACAGATTCTGGATTTGGACGACATGAATCGTTGCACACTTATGCTGTAATTACCCTAATGCATGCTGCTAATTCTATTTCACTGAGAGTTTGCAGCATAGAGGATTCCATGGATGATCCAGCATGCACAGATGGGCGATGCACACAAAGACAAACACAAGTGTCATTTTGTGCTTAAAGAATTACAATAGGTTTTATTTGTATACAATTTTCTTTTTATCTGTGCCAGTGAAAATATGTGCACACATGCTTATTAATACTTAATAAATGCAATATCAGACATCTTTCTATTACTGACCTGCAACCCCTTTACAGAAACTCATTTATCTTTGATCTTAAAAATCTCTAACACTTCCTTTTTTTATGATATCCCCTACTTTTTGATAGATGCATATGGATATTATTTGAATGTATTTATTTAATGTAAATAAATGTAAGAATGGCTTGGACTCTCCTCATCATCTTCATGCTTCATGAGAAAAAGAAGCTCCTTGTGTTTTCCCAACCCAGAGTAACACTGCATGCCTAGGAAAATATAACAGAAAGTACCAAAGTGTCAATATAAAAAAAAAACGAGTAATCATTCCCACAGGAACGAGCATTTTC